CCTCCACCACCAGCGGGTAGTCCTGCTGCGCGACCACGAATACCAGACTGGTCACGGTTCGATATACAAATAAGTCTACAACATTTACGAAGCCTTGACACCAGCGTGGTAACACGCGAGTTGCGGAAGCTACACTTGCGCTGGTTCCATGAGAAAGAGCCCAAGATGAGACTCATCTTATGCAAGATGTGTCTGGGCAGTGTCAGACTGAACCTGATTAGAGGTGTCTGCGACACATGTCGAGAGTGCAGAGCTTGGGACAAGCCTGGGCATACGGATATGCCCTCTACTTCACGACCTGGCAATTTTAATGAGGAGGTGGAATGTGATCTGATGTCCTACAATCAAGAACATAATATCTTCCATAACATCGATCGCTGTGTCCGATATGCTACTGGGATCGAGCTACCAGACAAAACTACCGCACGTAGCCTGGATGCAAGCTCATCAGTGCTGGATGCAGTTTGGACCTGCAAAGGTATTCTACTCTGATGGAGAGGGCACCCTCAACAACGACACTGCGAAAGCAGCCCTCAAGGCAAAAGGCGCTGAACTTAGGATACGCGCGCGTGGACAGCACGCTACGACGATCGAGGCCAGAAATGGCGTCCTACGCTATCTACGTCACGTCATGGAAGCCGAACTCAACATGTTGGATCTACCTCTTGTGTTCACCCGACTACTGCACGAGGCCTTGTTTGCTGCCAACGCGTTCACTTTTTTATAACGAGGTGCCACCATATAGCGCTCCGTTTGGACGGCAACCAGCAATGCTCCCTGACTTACCCGTCTTGGACCACGAGCAGCCGACTGAAACGTCGGACCATTCTCGTGAGCAGACGATACGCAGGGCATGTTTTGAAGCTATCACACAGGCCCCAGCAGCAGCTAAGACCAATCGTGCCGCACGCACTACAACGACTATTACTGGTCAGCACTATCATGATGAAGGAGACTTGGTCGATTATCATCGCCCCACGACCGCGAAGGATGATTGGGGAGGCTGGAATGGCCCATTCCCAGTTGTAAAGAATGATCCAGAAAGGGGTCAGATCATCATCCGGGTAGGCAATCGCGATGCTCAAGTACAACGCGGCGATGCACGCCATTCGTTATACATTGAAGCACTGATCGCCCGACAGATTGGCTCCGACAGCACTGCACTACGCACAGCGTTGACATTTGTAGCCAGCCTATCGGCGGGGAGACCTGCTCTGACCTTTGGCTATGTGCCGACCAAGAAAGGAACGCTTCAGATGACGACTGCAAGCCGTCTATCTCCCAAGGTACACCTAGCGTTACAGTACCTTGCCAGAAAGTTCTTCCGCATTGAGAATATGGCTTCTTCAGTCAGGCTAGCCAAGGGTATTCATGAGCTGTCTCCGGTTACTTTTTGCGACAGCTGCGCATTGGCCCACTACGACAACGACGTGAATCCAGGATTGCATTATTATGATGCAGAAGGCACTGCTTTGTATATACACGATATAACTGGACCAGCGCATTCGAGAATTATTCAATGCTTGAAGTCAAATAAACCTCAAGCAGGGTTTTGATCAGGACATGTCAAGATTTGAGGACTTCGCGGATACACCGACACCGGAGGGAGTCACAAGAGAAGCCTCAGAAGCCGAACCACCACATGATGATGATGGGCGCCATTCCACAGTTTACGACGAATCAGAGGCTGATCTCGAGTCGCATGTTATGGACGTGCGGTATGCAGAGCTACAAGAGGAAAAAGAACTGCTGGAGGCAACTCCACCAGAGAACCTCCTTGCCATACCTACACAGATGGTTCCAGATCAAAGTGTGCTGATCATTGTAGCTGATGAACAGCGGGGACACCTGCCGAAGTGGGGGCGCACTCACGACTCCGACGCCGAGGAGACGCACTACGTCCCAATGTGCACCATGGTCGAAGACGACAACTACGGACTGGACTCATATGAAAATGGTCGGTACGTTGAGCTCTGCTTTACGGCAGAAGTGTCAAAGCTAGTCCTGTCCGAACAACAACATATGATACTAGATGCCGACCGGGCGACCACTCTGCGAGTATACGTAACCGCCGCTGCAAAGCGAACAGTGTTCGTCAAGGAGGACGACCTCCTCGCGAAAGCTGACATCCAGGCGAATCCCGATAAAGTATCGAAGGCCCTCTACACTGAACTCAAGACACGGTTCGACAACAAGTACTTACATACGCAAGATATAGCAACAGCGTCGAACATCGTGACTTCGAGATACGTGTACACATTCAAGTTCGTGAAGAACGAGAAGGGCGAGATGGAACGTGCCATCAGACTGCGCCTGGTTCTCCGAGGTTTCATGGACCTTGAACCCTTCGACGTAGAAACATGTCCGGGCACGGCGCGACGGTCAAGCCAGAGGCTACTCGCTAGCACGGCAGCGTGCAAGAAGCAATGGATCATTGCTTCCCTCGGCATCAACATGGCCTTCCTGAAGGGACTGACCTATGGGGAACTTGCTGAGGCAACTGATGAGAAGGAATGTGTGGCGCGTTTTACTCTGCCGCCTGGATCGGCCACAGCGCTCCGAACTCTCCCAGGACTCGAGCACTACGATGAGTCAAAGCACTGCCTACGGTGCTTTAAACCAGGCACAGGCACCAAAGACGCACCACGGGCTTTCTCACTGAAGCTCAGAATAACCACCAGAGGCTCCGGTCTTCGACCCACGTCCCACGACGAGGAGTTCGAGGCGAGCAACAACTTGCTCACGGCCAAGCATGTCGATGACATCAATATGGCCAGCACTGAGGACACCATTGACAAGTGTGTCAAGTGCGTAGAAGATACTTATGGTAAGTGTACACTCAAGAAGCACACATGCACCAACTGTGCTGTGATATACACCAAAGATGAGGACGGCGCTGTCACGTTGGACCAAGATGAACAAGATAACTACATCAAACAGCTCCGTTCTATACAACATCCTGAACTGACCGGCGCCGACGCTGACGCTCAGGCAATCAAAATGATCGCAGTCATGTTCGTCAGCCTCAGGGGTGCTGTGGCGCATGCATTAATCACCCAGGTGCGGTTGATGGTGTATGTTGTTTCTCTACAACATGTCCAAGAACCGACCAGCATCCAAGTGCGACGGCCGAGCGCGATCACCGGGAAGCTACAGGCCTGCCCAAATAAGATCGCATGCCAGGCGATGAATCCTACGGGCGAGGTCGACCTGCATAGCGACTCAGGATACCGACGCCTGAGTGGAGACGCCGATGACGACGTCGAAGGCTATGGTATTCGCGGGGCAAACCTGCTACGACGTGGAAGCGCGCCATCAAGTAAGCCTGTCGTTCACTTGATTGATGCGCGCTGCAAGTCTCATCGCTTGCAGGCCCGCTTGAGCTATCCAGCAGAGACACTAGCAGCAGCCCCATAATTTGGATGACTGTAATCCCACGATTGTGACTCTGCGCGAGCTCCACGCACGGCCGCTCACGCCCACTCACTTGAATATACATATACATATATATATATATATATATATATTTAATTATATACATATATATATATATATGTATATGCATATATATATATATATACATGAGCTGGGTGGCCTGAGCATCAAGGTCACCTTGACCATAGATGCTGAGTCTGTTTTAAAATCGAGAAGCCGACTGCGTGCACCCTCTTAGGACACACCAGTTGGATACGACAGATGATGGAGCGTGGGATCGCGCACAGCATCCAGTGGTGCGACACCCGCGGTATGACTGCGGATGGTCACATCAAAGGGAGCATCGGCAGAGAATTGCTCCTACAAGTCATGGGAGGTATACAGGTCTTCCTACATGACCTGAAGAGACATACTCCATATCGGGCTAGCCAGGCATCAAGCTCTGACGCCGCCTGGTGAGTACGTCAAGTACAGGCCTGTACACGCGAGGCAACTTGCGAGCGGGTCCACCTTCCTTTTGGCCCGCTTTCTCTTCTGTCCTTGTGTAAATTAGCTGCTGTGCCTGCTGTATAGGGGCGACGGGCTCACGCTTCGTCTCCCTCCCCCCGACTGTAAAGCGAGCTGAGGGACGTAAGGAGTGGAAACGAGCGTGCGCCTGCGGCCGCGTCGGCCCAAGCGGCCGGCCACCCAAATATGACTGTGCCCCACTGCGAGGCACACAATCGCTATCGAGACCAGAAGGATTCTCCTATTGCGTAAGATGGCACATCCTCTCCTACTGGGACTAGCGCTACTACGGTGCAGCAGAGCTGGAACTTGGTTTCGCCTAAGGCGAAGCTGATGGCTGGGCCTCCCAGCCCCCTTCAAACTTCGTGGCCCTATCGGACCGTCTCGGGAGCCTCTTGAGGTTCTCTTGGAACGTCTTGGAGGCCTCTTGGGTCCAGACGTCATGCTGGAAGACGCGACGGGTCACAGAGGAACTGTGGCAAGCCCCGGGTGATGTGGCAATTGGGCCCCAGGGCCTTTTCAAAACTTTCGAGGATTGAGGTTCCGGGGATGAGTGATGAGGCAAGAGGCCTGAGGACACGCCCGCCCCGTACCCAGAGGCACGGTGGCGGATTTCACGTCCCACATGTCGATCACAAAACCCGAAAGGATCGAGGGCGCGCCAGTCTCCATTCTTCGCCAGATCCCACCAACATTCCGAGATCTTGCCATTCAGTTTTGCTATTTTACCCAGCGCGCAATCCTGTTTGGGGACATATTGTCTGAGCACTTTGTTCGGAGAGTGGGTCGGCCTCTCGCTTTTGACAGGGCGACTTCGTGCTTCGGCGGTTTCGCAGACAGTTCCACAACGCCGAGAAACCACGAGGGCTGGAGTGATACATTCGGGGAACAAAGTTCGAGTCGGCTTCTGGCCGACAGCAGGCCCAATGTAGAGCTTTCGCCCTCTGGCCGTGCACGCGCGTCCACGTAGCTGTGAGGAATGGGACGTTTTGTTCAGAATGATTTCGGGGCATGGTCGAAGGATCTGCAGAGATGTTCAACGCGTTGTTGTCGCGCTGATGTTCCACTCGCCACGGCCGGCAGCTGAGGCCGTCGCAGAACGCCTCGGCCTTGGGGAGGTGGAGATCGTGGGCCTCGTGGAGTATCCGTTCTCAGGCAGGCGGGGGCATCACCGCCGAAGTTTTTGCCGAGAGTGCGAGAGGGCGGGCTCGGCTGGCCGCTTTTCCAGGTGTGTGCCCAAAGATGTGGGCCAGGGGCAAAGGTGGCCATCGCAGAGGGGCATCCTTCGAAGCGGTGCCGCAAGATGAGGCTGAGTCTGAAGCAACCGAGGGGGCCAAGAGCATGGTTACCAATAGATGCATGACAGCTCGAACATGGCCCAGACAGTTAGTAGTGACGGACACGTTCGTAATACCGTAACAGAGGATGCGGCAAGAACGGCCAGTGCAAATTCGCCCATGACGCAGCGTTAGAATGAGGCGGCAATCACGCGGCGAGAGACGATGGAGCCCAGAGATCGGTTCGCACAGAGTGCCAAGCACTATTGAGGCAATAGGAGGTCCTCACCTCATGGAAATCTCTTGGAGGCCCGGAGAGGGCAGCACACATAGGGACAAGGATGATGCTAGAGCATGGACCCCAGGCATCGGCTCTGTGCATCCCACAGGATGCAATGTGTTGGGCGCAAGGTATGGGGAGCAACCTTATTGCGTGGCGCAATGCAAGCAGTGCACCTTTGTGGGGCGCAATTCGGGGCGCAGTCCGTGCGGTGCGAGATATGTGGGCGTCTTGTGCGATGCAGTCTTGGGCGCGCAAGCGGCAGGCACGGTCAGGCGGCAGATCCGGCTAGGTGGAGGGCGCGGAATGCGGGGAGTGCCCAGGGCTCCACGCGGCGGCGACGTGCGGCGGCGTCCGGCAGACGGGACCTAGCGACCCAGCGGGGGGCGCGACGTGTGGGGAGTGCCACGGCGGCGATTTGCGCCAAACGAACTGCCAGGGGAGGCACGAAGTGCTGGGAGTGCCCAGGGCTCCGTGCGGCGGCCACAGGCGGCGACGTGCGGCCTCAAGGGCCAGTGAAGCGTGAGGGATGCCCACCCCGCGCGGCGGCGACGGCAGCGACGTCGGCGTCCTTCTGGATTGTCCTTGTCATCCTGGTGCCCCTCCTCCTGCCCATCGTCTTTGGCGTCGCCGTTGCCCTCTTCATGCTGCTTGCCCTGTTCCCGGCCCTCTTCCACCTCATGATTACTAACTTCCTGATCCTCCCGATCTTGCTGCTGCTGTCCTGTGGCGCATTTTTCAGCTCCTGGGGCCTGAAGAAACTGCCCCCCAGGATGCCGGAATCATGAGGACATGCGAGCACGTGGACTGTCTGGTTACGTATGTTTTATTTTCGCGACGCTTCGAAGTATGGCCCCTTCCTCCCCCCTCACAGCTTATTCCCCTGAAGTCGTCCTGTGGGACACTCGGACGAGGATCTTGAGGCGCATCCAGCCGTGCCGGCGTCGAGGGCTGCCTGCGAGCCCCTTCCCCCCTTCTCCCCAGGGCGGGTTTTTCATCCCGAGCTGTTTTTTGGGCAGTCCCAGGGGTCGGTCAGGGCCCACCTATATCGAACATTATCCTCCCCCCACCCCTCTCCCCCAACCTCGCGAATTATTTCACGGCGCGAGGAGGTCTGGGACCTTTTGCTGCTAACCTCATGCCCGTGAGAATAAACACTAGGGGATAATAAAGTTCGGGGTTCAGGGAGAGATAATAAAAGTAGCCCAGCAGACCTCAGCATAATCTCGAAGTAAGAGATGATCAAGAGGAGACCAAGCCGAGCACGTTTTGAGACATCCTTGGCGTTTAGTTTTCATAGAAATATCCTCAACAATGGCTTATCTCTCATGACGATTGTTTTTTGTAAGTGCTCGTGTAGGGTAGCTCATGTGCCTCAATTTCCATGGATAATCAACCCCAGAGATAAAAAAAATCAGGCGAGCGTGGGGACAGAGAGAAATATGAAAGAAGAAGAATACAGTAGAAGAATAATAAGAAAGAAGAAGAAGAAGAGGATAATAAGAAGAGGACGAAGAAAGGAAACATCCAAAGTTCCAAATCTATCAATTTTAATTTACAAACGCTTTATGAAAATTGATTTGTTTAAGTGTTCGTGTAGGGTAGCTCATGTGCTTCATTTTCCATGGATAATCAACCCCAGGGATTAAAAAAAAGTTCAGGCGAGCGTGAGGACAGATAGAAATATAAAAGAAGAAGAGGAAAGTATAATAATAATAAGAACATTGCTCGTTTCGTTTGAGTCTGCCTCCCAAAATTATTGGTTTCGCTTGACACATCCTGAAAAAGTGTGATCGCTTCGCTTGATGTTGCTATATCAACATCGCTTGATGTTGCTATCTCAACATAGCGTTTCAAGGTGATAATGAAGTTCGGCCTCAGCGCTCGCCGCCCAATTTGAATTTTGTATAGGGTGACGATAATCAACTCTAAACACTGAAGGGGGGGGGTCCCTTTACTATCATCGGCATGCGGTTACTCCTCCCCCTCCTCCTGCTCCTGCTCCTGCTCCTGCTGCCATTCCTCCTCCTCCTTCTCCTCCTCCTCCATTCCTTATACATGAATTCTTCCTGTCGCACCCCGGGGCCAGTTTTTCGGGTGGGCCGATCGTTTCACTTGAGACCTCCTCACCACTTATGATTCTGAAGCTTATGCATTGGCAACAGCTTGACAGGTGGAGGGCGGGTGGTTGTCAAAATGCGGCTCTCGCCTCAACGCGGCGCATATTATTCGAACGAAACTGCAAGAATTTCACGGATTGACGGCGGATAGGTTTCAACATGTGCGCGGCGCACACTCGTTTTACAATGTGCAAGAGTTTCACGGTTTGATGGCGAGTGGTTTTCAACATGTAGCTCTCGCTTTAGCGCGGCGCAAGTTCGTTTTTTTTTTTTTTTTTTTTTTGTAAAAAAAAATACAAGAGTTTCACGGATTGAGGGCGAGTGGTTGTCAACATTTTGTTTTCGCTTTAGCGCGGCGCAAGTTCGTCTTAAAACAAGCATGCAAGAGTTTCACGGATTGAGGGCGGGCCGTTTTCAAAATGTGGTTCTCGCCTTAGCGTGGTGCCTCTTCGTTTTCAATATTTGCAAGAGTTCATTGGTCGTAAACATACCGTTGGTCGGGGTCGGCCTGGGTGAGAAGGGCCGTCCGCTGGATTGGGCGCTTGCCACTGCGCCCGATCAGCCTGCCGCGGGCGCGCTGTTTCTGCATCCGCGCGTCAGGACGCAACGACACGCTGAACGGCTGGTTGTTTGATTGCAGCGACATACCCTGGGTTGCGTCAGGGACGCCTGGGGGCATCGGGGGTGTCCGCGGGGTTTAGAACAACATTGGAATGGTGGTGCCTGTTCCATTTGAGGACAGGCACCCCCGCTCCGTTGCGTTTGGGCCTGCCCGCGGGAGCGCTGCGGCCGCGATCGGGGGCGCTCTCGGGGGCCGCGCGTGCGCCCGAGAACGATTTCGACCAAACGCCACCTCGACTAGGTACGGGTACGTGTCCGGGGGTACCATCAACTCGCGTCGGCGAGATTGTGCCCCCCGGCACGTACCCGGACCTAGTTGGGGTGACGCCGGGCGGGTTTTCCAGGGAGCAGCCCCTGGCGACCGCGCCTGGCGTTCGGGGCCCTAGGCGTTAGGGGCGAGCGCGGGATTGCATCGGCGTCCGCCCAGGAAACCCAGGACGCATTTTGCGCGTCGAGGTCCAAACGCTTGATTGTGCGCCTTCGTGGGCGCACCTCCGAACGAGCTACTCTAGCCCGAAAGCGACCAGCCTGGTCGGCCACTCTGCCGATTGGAACGCGCGCGCCTTCGATGCCAGCGGATGCCTGGAGAAGACAGCGTCCTGCATCTGCACACATGTGCAACCGCCGTCGGCTGTGGCGTGTCGCTCCCCCCGCCCTTTGCCACCCCGCCTGGGCACGGGTACGGGTATCTTTCGCGTTCGAAGAGGGTTTCACGTATTGAGGGCGGGCCGTTTTCAAAATATGGTTCTCGTTTCAGCGCCGCGCACATTCCTTTACAAATTCTACAACAGTTTCACGGATTCCCATCGTCAACGCACCAGAAGTGGTGTTTGGGGGGATTCATGATTACACGGGCGCAACACTTACGTTGATTCTTTGTGTTGAAGTCCTAGGAACGGCGTTTTGCACGATTCAGGATCGCCAAGATGCAACAGTCCGGTTGTTCTGTGGCGTTGGAATCCCGAGAAGTATGTTTCGGCATGGTTTAGGATCTTCAAGCGGGTGTCTTCCAACGAGGCAGTTCCCGCAATGGAAATGAACCGCTGTAGGGGCCTATGAAGAAGGATCTCGGAAGGAGCGTTCACTCCAGCATCGTTGGTGATTCTTGGTTTTACGCTGGTGTTCTTCTTTTTCCTCCTCCTCCTCCTGTTCCCTCCTCCTCGTCCTCCTCCTCCTCCTCCCCCTCTCGCTCCACCTGCGGGCGCGGGCGCCAGGCATTACGTGGCTGCGCTTCCTGCTCGCCGCTGCGGCCGGGCTGCCCACCTGCGCGATGTGCCCTCCCCCCACCCGGCCTCAGGGCGGCCTCCGGCAGGCCAGGGGGTGCAGGATTGGACGGGATTCTCCTCAACCTCCGCCTCTGCCTCCTCTTCTTCCTTTGTCAATTATCGTGCCGAAGTTGGGCAAACATATCAAGGTGGCCAAACCACTGGAATTGGCTCCTGGGCGAATGCTGCGTATACGGCGTACACAGCTGATGATACAGTGCGACCATGACAAGAGCTTCGAAGACACGGGCCTCGTCGTTTACAGCGTCCACACATCGGTCTCCACGCGGGCGACTTTGACGCCATGGAAGAACGATTCCTCGCCGACCATTATCGCTGCCAGCTTGCACCTGAACGCATTGCAACCATCGTCATGCTCGACTCCAACTTCTCCGAGAGGCCAGCCGTCCACCGACACTCGCCGAAGGTAGGCCGCGACGTCTCGTTCACCGACGCCCGCAACTACGCGCGCACGGACCACGCCGCTAGCAGGTTGGACAAGATTGTGGCACAGTTCGTGTAGGTCCACGATGACACGCCCACGCACTACGTGGCACAATGTCCAGTTGGACACAGTGCCCGCCGCATCGGCCGCATCTTCGCCTCGCAACTCAGTGGCGTTGGAGCGCACACCTACTCATCGACCCCAGCGACTTGTACGACAAGTGCATCTTCGACCGCGCGTCCATCTGCATGGGGTAGCTGTGCACCAACCCATCAAGATAACAACAGCAGTGTATTCCTGACCACCTATTCACGCACCCCACGTTCGCCAACTTCCTGAAGAACCTGAGTGATGTGGTACTTGGCTGGGATTCTTTGCCTACCTGCCACAGGCATGCGCGCTATAAGGAGCTTGCGCGTGAGGCTGCACGCACCACCCGAATGTACCTGCTGGAGCAGCGTGCCCCCTCCACGCCGAACAAGCTATTTTTTTCCCGCTCCATGGCGATCCAGAGCGGCCTGGAGGAACGACGCGAAGCTCGCTGAGGCGCCCCATGGCAAACACTATCTCGTTCGCGAGCATTTCCGCCTCCGTCCTGGACGCGTGGACTCACTCAACGCAGTTGCTTTTCGCCGAGCGTTCGCCGCGCACCAGCAAGACTACAGCAACCCACGCGCTGAAGCGATTCAACGTCGAACCGAAGCTGCCGGCGAAGAAACATGCTGTCGGTCTACGCCGGGCTCGGGAAGCGGAAGTTCGTCAAGCTCAGGTGTGGGCCCCGACCAAGCGCCGCATGATCTTCCAGTCCACCGTCCACGACGGCAGCGACCTCTACGACCAGTTTGACATCCTCGAGCACGTCCGCCAGCAATACAACAACGCGTTCGCAGACAAGCCCACGCGCAGCTTTGCACCAGAGGTACATCGCAGCGCGCGCCACGGACTTTGGCCTCGCGGACTGCAGCGCTTTCTTTCAGCACAACATTGGGATGGCCATCAAGTTTGCGAACCGTTGATTCCCAGGGCCAAGCAGATGCCCCTACGTGGTATGGAGCACATCATGCGGCACACACGTACTACAAAAAATATTACATGAATTGCGATTTTGATTTTCACCTCCCACAGGCTTCAACGACCCCATCCTGGCCCCGATTCCATGAGGGGAGGAGGCAAACGACGCTGTCCTGGCACGACGTGCAGCGGACCAGCTGCGCTCACTACAGTTCAAAATCGCGGGCCCAAAGATCCTCGCCGCCAGCTGCGACCGCGAGATTCACGCCACCGCCGCGCACAAGAGTACCCACGCGGCTTCCTTCGTGGACGCCAATGTATACCCAATGGTACCGGCGAGAAACCCCAATCATAATATGTTTAAGGCTGTACGGGTTTTGGAGCTATACGGCTATAGGACCATACGGCTAGGGCTATAGGACTATAGGGCTATAGGGCTATAGGAACATAGGGCTATAGGGCTACAAGGCAATAGAGCTGCAGGCTATAGGCCTATAAGGGCTACAGGGCGATTGGGCTACAGGGCATAAGGACTATAGGACTATAGACTATAGGGCTATAGGGCTATTAGGGATAGAGGGCTATAGGGCTATAGGTCCATAGGGATATACGGATATAGAGCTATAGGGCTATAGGGCGATAGAGCACCCGAGCACCCCGGGGCACCCGGGCACCCCGGGGCACCTCCGGGCACCCCTGGGCACCTCCGGGCACCCCCGGGCTCCGGGGCACCCGGGCGCCCCCGGGCACCCGGGCGCCCGGGAACCCCCGGGCACCCGGGCACCCGGGCGTGCAGCGAAAATCGGCGGCAAACCTAACCTAACCAAATGAATCCGCTAGGACCCCTACAGAGGCAAGCTCTGATGGGGGAATATAGCGCAGACGGACACCATGGCAAGAGCGAGGAGTTGGCTCGCCGCCACCAACCCGACGGAGTACGGCCAATCAGTGGTGTTTGCCCAAGACTTCGTCGCCGCCTTCCCGTCGCTGAGCCAGACTTTGCTATGGAATGCTGCCGACTCGACGGCGGCCTCCTGAACGCGCCGCAGGCATTCTGCGACGCGCCGCACACCTGCGCCTCGCTCACAGGTGACCTGCACTTCATGTTCCTTGTCTCCGCGGGCATCCCGCAAGGCTGCCCGCTCAGTGTCACGACCTGGTGCATCGCGCTCAACCTGGTCATGATATCTTTCAAGAAGGCCCTCAGGCTGCGCCCGCATTCAAGCCCCGACGCATGCGCAGACGACATCGGAGCGATCGTGAAGAATGGCATTCTCCTGGACAGTGCCTTCGCCGAGTTCCGCAGCGCAGAGGTGCTCGCAGACCTTCGCCTCCGCGTCAAGGAATGCGTCGGCGGGCCGCCGCGTGGACAGTTCGACAACTCCGCGATTGGAGAGTTCCAGACGCGGCTCGGCACCGCTCAGAAGGAGCGGGCGCGTTCACCATCGCCGACGGCGTCGAGCATATGGCGATGGCGCTCGGCCCCGCGATCGCGGACGAGCGCCGGGCTCTCCCGCGCGCGAAGTTCTATCGTCGGGTCGTTGGGCCTGCCAGCTCTGGCGCCCCCCCCCCCCCCCCCCAGCGCGCCTCGACTTCCATGCGCGCGCGCCGGCCCCGTGCCGTCTCAGGGCTCAGCTACGTCAACCAGTTCACCGCCATCTGCGCTAAAGTCTCCAGGGGGCTCGAGCACCGGGCAACCCACGACGTGCTTGCTTCCTCTTCCGGAAACTGGATCTCGAGCAGTCTATTTCAGCGTCTTGAACTGGTTGCGCCTGAACGCCTCCTCGATGGAGCTGATGGGCACGTCATCCCGAGTGCGAATGTCGACTGGGCGTACGAGTGGCCTTTCGCCGGAGTGAACTATGGCGCAGGCCCAATGGGTGCCCCGATCGCCGAGCGCGATGCGGCGGAGGCGTCTCCCGCGCTTGCTTTTGGCCCCCCCCACGGCCCCCCGAAAGCCGCGCACGAAGGGTCATTCTTACCCGGGGTCACTCTTGTGCCTAGCCGAGAAGGGCGCTGGGGACTGCGCCACAGTGGCAAGGCTGGTTTCAACGATCCACCCACCTCTCGGAAGTCGCCCGCGACTGCGCGCGCCCCCGAGACCGCTGCCGCCGTTGCCCCGGGGAACGATATCGCGAGCCCGATCGCAGCCCAAGCCTTGATCGAGATGGGAAAGACGCGCCGCGCGGCCGCATTGCGCGAGGGGTTGCCCGCCGGCGGTGTCCGAGCGCAGCGAGCCATTGCCCGCGCCCTGCGCCCTCGCCTCTTCGCTGATGCCCTCGCCCCGCTCCGCCCGCGCCTGGCCGAAAGGGGGCCGCGGTCGGCGCTCGAGGCTCTAGTTCTCGAACATGCTCGAAGCGCGCCTGAACAAAAACTTGCCCCGAGCCCACCGGCAGCGCGTGGCGCAGCAATCGAGGCGCCCTTCGGAGCGTGGACTACCTCGCGCGGAGTTCCGATGCCCAAGCAGCCCTTCTTGTTGCAGTTAGACGACCAGAGTTACCGCTGCCGCTGCGGCCCGCTCAGGAAATTCATTTCGTCGGCAGGCCAAGACCCGCTGCTCGCTGAGCCCGTGGCCTCTCGCCTCGGATTCCGCCTTGCCAAGTTGCGCGACGACGCGGCCGCGCGAGTCGCGCTGCTGCGCCACACCTCTGCTTACCGCCGCGGATTCCGCGACAGGGGGCGCGGAACCATGGGCCATGGGCGACGCTTGCGTGGGCCGCGCAACTCTCGGGCCCGCGCGCGCAGCCAGCGCTCGCCACGCTTCGCGCCAGCTTCGCGCAGATGCGTAGCCGCCGCCCCCGCGCGCAGGCCGCGCCGAGCAAATTTAACTGGGCCTCGGGGGGCCCTCTCTGGCGCGCGGGGCCTCCTGTTCCTCCTCCTGCCCCTCCTCTTGTTCCTTCTCCTCTCCCCCCCCTCCCCCCTCCCCATTCATCTTGATCTTCCGAGCCTGGCCGAGGTCACACCTGCGTCGGGAAGGCCCTCGACCAGATGTTGATGCATCGGCGCCTGCGGAGAAACAGCTAACAAAACTCTCGCCCCCCACTGTTCCCCCCCTCCTGCGCCGAGCGCGGGTGCCGGCGTCCATCCAGGATGGGCCGGCGCGCCCAGTTATTCATGCTCGTCTGCGTAATGTGCTTGTGTCCGTTTAGCATGTGATGGCGTGGTGGCGGTGGTGGCGCCATTCTCTCTCCCTGTTTGTGGCTGTTGGCCCGCCTTTGCCCCCCTGCGGGCAAGTTTCCCCCTCCTTCTCCGCTTCCTCCAGCGCCGCTTCCGCGCGCGCTGCGCTCCCGTGGGAAGGTTGAGTTGCGCCGTGTTCCTGAGGTGCCTCGAGCTTCTCGCTGCTGCACCGACTCGAAGGGTTCCGTTATGTTGCCCCCAAAATGCGCCGCAATAAATTTGGCCATTGGCTATGCGGAGAGCAGCCGCGCGCAGCGTCCAGTCGACCGCCGCCGCGCCAGCGATGCATGGGCGCGGTTTCAGGCTTAGGGGCAAGTCGGGCCGGGGGTCCAGGGGCCGTTTGGCGGGCGTATGTGGGCCGCCGTGGGGCCGTT